AAGACTGAAACCAAAAACTGTACATTTTTCTAGATTAAGAAAAATATGATAATGGAACTGGTTATCATGCTTTAGATATAAAGCATAATTATATTGATCATTATATTGTTATTGCATGCTACTTAAGAAATCCTGTACATCATGAGAGAGATGAGAGAATCTTTTATTACATTATTTAGAACAAAGAGCTGGATGCTTTAGTTTGGAATGAAGCTCCATTCATACACATTTTTCAACTAAAAATGATAAATTAAAAATTCATGAAGAGGACGCTGTGTTTAATATCTGCACATCAACATTTTTATGAGGGTAATTCTTCTCTTTTAATATGGGCGGCTAGATATCAGACTTATCACTTATCTAAATATCAAACACGTTACAGTATCAAATACATGGTTATTCTCAGAGGTGGAAAGGAACTAAGTACATTTTCTCAAGTAATTTTGGTACTTTTCAGAATAAGATTAATAAAACAAATTAATCATAAGACTTTATTGATCCTCGGTGGGATATTCACAAGCTACATAGCAATACTTCATATTTGAAGCATATAAAATAGTTAAAATTAGCTCCCATTTACTGGCTATAACATTAATTATGATGTACACAATAATGCATTAGTAACTATAATCCAATAATATGATATACATTAATGTGAAATGTGGCATTCTGCATAATAAGTACTTTTACTTTTGGTACTAATATTTTAAATGCAGAACTTTTACTTGTAACAAAGTATTTTTACACTGTGCTACTTGAGTAGACAATCTGAGTGCTTCTTCCACCACTGTTAATGCCTTGTATACTTATAATAAGTTGCATACTGGCCAAAGGTTTGTGTCAACCACTCTTTATTAAAATTGTGAATAGAATGGAGTGAAATTTTAGAATAAGCGTTAAGCATGTTAAAAGAAAATCAAAGCGAACTGCCAGTGACAGAGAGCTGATTCAGAGGTCGACGGTCATTGAAGTCGGTGTTAGGAGCTGCTTGTTCCCGTGGGTAGTCCCTTACAGAGATGCCAGAGAGGCCAAAAAGTTTTATCCATGATCTAAGTAGGACCGTGGGACTAAATGGCACGGACAGGTGCTGTAGTTAAATATTATGTCAGAAAGGGCTTGCTCTACTCTCATTAACACTTTGCTCCATCTTAAATACTTCTGTGGCTTTTTAAGCACGTCTACTTTACATTTCTGCACTGGATAATCCTTGCGATTTTTTTGTTTTGCGCCTTGAGTTTTAATATTAGCGCCCTGCTACGGTATCTCTGTCAGCCTCTGGTGGTGACCAGTGGGAACTGCAAAACACTGAGAGCACTTCCCCTTCTACACAGCAGGTCACATCCTCCGATCTTATGGAACAAATGAAAAAGCAGCTTCAAAGTAATGCCTGAGGTAAAAAAAAAATTTTAAAAAAGCGTCCAGAACCTGAAAGACACCCTTTACTTTCACAGAAGACAGGAGAAAAGCAGCAAATCCTCACAGTTGAGTTAATTTTTCTATTTTTGTTTGAAAATGATGATCAAATGATGAATCAGTTATGACTAAATAAGTACACAAATGAGTACAGTGATCACTGCTTTCTGAGATTAGTCATCAGTAACGCCTTCAGATGCACTTTAGTGATTTATGATAAAGGTCAAGAATAAACTCACACTCAAAAGTTGTTTTCATAGTCACTGTGTGTAAAAATCAGGATGTCATATTTTCCAGCTATGAATCATTGCCTCTGTTCCTATACAATGGAGCAATAAGTTGGTTGTCTGTTATTGTCACCTTCAAGGAAAATTTATTACAAATCAGCCTCAAGAGTTACAGGAAGAGCTGCTTTGTTTGTGCAACATCCTTGTTTACATGTACTTGAAAACCTTATGGGCCTCTTAACTGTCCTTGGATCCTCTGTTTTCTCCTTGTTTAAGCAGGAGCGGTAGCAGGAGCAAGAGCAGGCCGTCCTGCTGAGAACAAGAAGGGCACAGGACCTAATTACAGAAATAAGACCCGGCAAGTTCACGTTATGCCAACTGGCCCTGGCTTCCTGGAAAAGCCATGCACAGAACCTTATTATCTCTTTGGATGCTTTAAAAGCTGTTTTGTTTTGCTCTAGTGCCTAAAGCTGGGAATGTCTCTAGCAGTCGTGTTGCAGGGAAAATGTAGACTTTGTGAACTTTGTTGGACTTTGGTGAACTTAGTAAATGTGGTACAAACTGCATTATTAGGCTGTATTGGTTATTGAAATGTGACCTACTGCTGCTGTTTTGCGAAGGTCACAGAGCACGGCACATTTGGCTTTGCAGATTTACCAAATGGCTAAAACTGTTAGCACTGCGTTGTTGTGCTTTATTTATGCAACATTTTTAGAACAGGTTCAGTAGCATCAATACTTACAGAGTCATTATTATAAGGGTGTGTTTATGCTTTTGCATTAATGAAAGTTGTAGCTGGAAGCATTGTTTTCCATCAGTACGTCCATCCTGTGAGTGCGATATGTCAGGAACGCTTTGAGGGAATTTCTTCAAAATTGGCACAAACATCCACTTGGATTCCAGGATGCACTGTTTGCAATGTGTACATCAAAGGTCAAACTCAGTGACCTCAAATCTGTCCCACTCCCGTGAATTGGACTGAAGCGGTAATTCCAGTTTCACTCTCTACTTTATAATTATGACTTAGCAGAAGTAAAAATAAAAAGTTTTTCAAATCTGACTCTGGTGATTGATTGTGTATAAAACCTTTCCCAAATGTAATCTATTCATAAAACTCAAGGTTGCTCATTACGGAGCTATTATTGATTGAACATGGGTAGGATTTTCAGACAGTTTTTCACAAAAAAACAAAACAAAAACATAAAGACTAGGGCCAATGGGGTTGAGACCACACTTACATTTTTGTTTTTTAACTGTTAACCCTCATGTTTACCAGTATGTGATGCTGTGGAATAAACAAGGTTTTGACTAACTTTCAGAAAACTCTGGTCTAATTCATTATCTCACTGAAGCAAGAATACTCTTGTTTATTCAACTTGAATATCTGTGCTGGTTGAAAATAGAAATGCATGGTATTGAAACAAGAATGTGATTGTTAACCTCACAGAAATATAATTAGGTGAACAAGAAGATTCAAGTTGGCAGAACTCTTGTCTAAACCTGTAAACTTTAGTAAAGTCAACAAAAGTAGTCAAAAGTTGAGAAAACTCAAAAATCCTGTTGCCTTGATAATTTTTTACAGTGTATTTTTCAGGACAAAAACAAAACTAAAACTAAATAAAAGGTCAGGTTTGATAATGAGAACTACAACAAAATGTTTTAGACTTTTCATCAACAAATAAAAAGTAAATGATAATGTGAAAGAGATATGAATGGACATCAGTGGACATCTCTAGCACTTCATAGAGATACACAGTTGAATTAATGATTTTGTTTGATCTACTCATAAATTAATTGGCTAATTGTCTTGACTCTAGATACGAGGTTTAATATCGGTTTGACTTGTCTTGTGCTGTGTTGGTTTTGTTCAGTATCAGCTATTATTCATAACGTGCTGTAGTACCTGTGCAGAAGCTCTGTATTTAACTAGTTGTACCTATGTAAACACAGAGCTTCTAGCTGTGGTTGTTTAAATGGTTTATCTGTGTACCGAGTTGTGGGCGTTTGTATACTTGCTCTCTTCTTACGGCCTCTCCCTTTCTCACCTCGTTTGTGTTTCAAACCATGTTTGAAACCGCATCATCTTCTGGGTGCAAAGCCCACATTATTGATCATCTAGACTCAACACTTGCATACAGATGCTTCCCATTATCACTGATTTGCTTGCTAGTAACTGACTCCAGGGGATGATGCTAGCTGCAGCACAACGGGGTGTGTGTGATCAGCAGGAGAGTCAGATTAGATCAATGTACTGTCATCTAGTGTCATAGTCAGCACGCTGTATTCAGGAGGGCCTGATCTGTCCTGTGAATCCAACACCTACAGTCTGCTGGAGGGAAACAAAAGGCAGGAGTCGCACACAGATAGTGTGCAGCCCAGTGTTTCAGCAGTGCAGTTTTTCAGCTTTGTCCTTTCTCGCTGTTTTTGCACTTCACTCCTTTTATAGCAATGTGATCTTCAGAAGTCCTTGTGTCCACTTTGTTCTCAGTAGGCTCAGCTAAGAAAAGGTGCAGTGAGCTAAGAGATGAACGATCTCCCTCTGGTGGAAGAATGGCTTTTAGTTCATTGTAGTCTATATGGTTTTTGTAAGTATTTCAAGATATCTGAATCATTAACAGTGTGCACACAGATGTATACTGTACTATTTGGTTATCACAGTGTATCACAGGAAATGTTTGCTTGTGCATAACTGAGTTATGTGACTGTCAATCTGAATTTGCATTTTTGAGTTTATTCAGTCTGATTTAAAAAGACTGTTTGCAGAAAACTGTGATGAATCTCCAATGAGCAGAGAAGCTCGTAATCCTCTGCTCCTTTACAGCTTAAACTTTTTAATGATGTTGCTGTGCAGTCAAAATCACGTATCTGACTTGTTTTTAGATAAACTGATGGGGTTCCTGTTTCTTCACAGACTGAGAAAAGTCTCTTACCTCTTAAAGATCTGCTTCAGATCTGTTGAACACTGGACCATGATTGGCAAACTAGAAACTGAGAAAACCAGAAAGCCTAGATGAAGGTGAGCGCTGAGAAAGTTTCCTGTTCCAGCAGATGAATATGAAAACAACCTTAAAGATTTGAACTTTGCACATGAAGCTGTCTGCACTGTGAAGGCCAAACATCCGAGTGAGGAAACAGTGAGCAAAACATTTTCTCAAGTGGAGTGGGACTTTAAGTTACAACAGCCCATTTAAAAACTCATTGTATTATCTGAGAACTGAACCATCACAAAGGTGAAAGTTTTTTTTAGCTCCTAAACAGCTGACACTTTGCAGATGCATGGTCTTCCCAGGATAGTGACTAAAAGGTGGTTGCAGGCCATTCACTCAACGGTAGCAACACATCTCAAAGTGAAACAGTATCTGTGTGGTTTCCCCTTTCCCCCGCTCTGCTGTTGCTCTGGACGGGGCTGGTCCTCTGTCTGGGACTCTGTGTGGCGATTGGAGATTCTTGGCTGGGCCCCGGGACCTCCCCCCTCTGGCACACTTGCAGCGCTGCACCACCACCATGACTTTCACTGCTCTCCAAGGGCGGGTGGTGCACCTTCAGGGAAAAACAAACAAACATGGAGGCTGTAGGAGTGCAAGTATACAGACCTTGCTCGTTTGACCGTCTGTGAGTATGGCACATCAGCATCTGTGATATTGTTGGCATGCATTTAGGCAAGTAAAGAGCTGATTGTAATTGTCACTGGTACTTATAAAGCTTATTTTTTGTGTTACCTTGACCCCCTTGTCTTTTGTGATACCCCAGTTCATCACAGAAGAGTTCAAAACTTGCAGATAATCAGTTAGGACTAAGTAAAATAAATATTTTTCCTAATGCAGTGCTACTAGATTTTAAATGAGGTTGTTGTTTTACCATTATTGTCCATTAGGCAGAGCTATTCTCTGTTCACAAAGAAGTCATTAGGTCTGCAAGGGGGGGGAGGCAGCCTTTTACCAACTCCAGTCAGTTGCCAGCAGGAGTACTGGTGGTGCAGTGTGCCTGTATGGCAGATTAGTTTCTGTCAACAGCTCAATCAGATCGATCAGGCCTCTGCTGGCTCTAATGAACTTTGGTCCTTACCCTGTCTTCTCAGATGCAAAGACACCTCATCTTCCTTTCTGTTTGTTGTCTGTCTGTCTGCCAGTCATTAAAACCCGCATCACAGACTCAGCTATGACCAATAATGAAGCATGATGGAGTGAGGAGAACCAGAGGAATCATGAGTTGGGTGGGTGGGCTCTTAAAGACTGTACAGCCATTGTTTTTTTTTTCTTTGAGAAAAAAAACAACAGGAAGCACACACACATGCACAAGTGAGAAATTTATAAAGGACAAAAGAGCTTTTTATGTGCCACAGAACAGTTGAAAAGAAGAAACAGAGTAGTCGAGCTTTGTATAGAGGCTTTTGGTCATTTACACACACACACACACACACACACACACACACACACACACACACACACACACACAGAAGTCAATCTGATAATCAGGACTGCATTAAAGACAATCATAAGGTGCTACAACTCTCAATAGACCTAAACTCTAAATCATCCTCTACTAGTTGGAAACGGATCAATTTCCTGTAATTACATAAGCGTAGTTAAAGTTTTAAATAGATCAAATTGTAAAATTTGTAACATTTATTCAAAAACTGATGTCAAGTAGTGTCTGACTGACATTGACAGTTTTATCTGCTAGCTTATCACGTACACAGTTCAGTGGCCTGTATTGGCACTGGTCTACGACAAGTAGCAAGAAATTCAAATATAGAAAAGAAAATTAAAGATAAGTTTTTTTTTAAAGCACTTGCTCAGTGACACATTTTGCACATGTAGAACACTGACTATAAAATGCCTTTCTCTGTACATATCTACACATTCATGGTTTTCACACAGTTGATTATAGCTGATAATGCTAAAGATTTTAGTGAACCTCAGAGTTTTCCTCCAGCGTCACCAGCAGGTGATCTCATGTGTTTAAGACACAGCTTGTTATTGAATTAATGAGGTTTTGGTTGAAATTACTGATCATATATATGCAGCGGTTGGTAGTAAAATAAATGCTCTCTCCTCCCTTCATCAAATTGGCTGTACTGCCTTGTAGTAACACAGCGGAGCTCCATTTGTTCCCAGGCAGTGGTGCAGGCGTGCGTCTGTTTTCTCTCACACCACCAGCTCTGAGTTGCTTAAGGTGGAGACAGAAACTGCTGTGTCCTCTCCTATTCCTGGAAGTGCTGCTACACCTTCAGGTTATTGTGTTTGAGGTGACGAGGAATGTGTTGTCACGCAGATCTCCTGGAAGGGTGTGAAGATGTGTTGATCAGAAGGGTCATTACCAAAACTATTACAAAACAAACTGTAAGGCTGGCGGGCATAGCTTATCAGCGATGAGTGTTGTGTGGTTTAAACTTGAAGGGCAGTAGATAAACTATAAATCTGTGAAAGATGTTTTCTGTACAGAGATATTTAACACTCAAGTGTCTTTGAGTTCAAGTTGAATGACAGTTTAAGATATACAAAGTAATAAGAGTCAGAATAACTAAAGTTGAACTAAAGAAAGTGAAAAAGAAACATCTGTCACATCCCAAGGATCTAAAAATCAGAGAGAGGTGTTTCATGTAAAATACTAGTTTGTCGGATAGTGTGAAAGAAATAGAGAAGTGGTGTCTTTTGTATGTGTATTGATGAGGGAAGTGCTGCATTTTTATATATTTGCTGCACTTTCCATTGCGATATAACACCCAGAAGTGCAAACACAGGATAGATGCAGGTGTGGGAGGGTTGTCAGCAGCATCACAAACACAAACGAAAGCTATGTTCCATTTTGTTTTTCTCACCAAAATAGGCCTTTACATTATATGTATCCTTCAGACTTAACAGACATGTTGAATACATTTTCTCCTTAATTAAAACTTAGATTTTCTGGGGATATTTTAAATATTATATCAATATAATAATCAATATTAACATACTTATTTTAAACCCTGCATTGTTTACATCTTGTGTATTTGCTAGCGGTCTTCTTCACTGCCCTTCTTGGCCCAGTGCTGTATTTTTTGGTGCATTACTGCCATCAAATGTTGATCAGTGGAATAGCGTGAAACCAAAGCATTGTGCTCGTGTGCATGCATGATACAGACAAAGCATGGATCATTTTTATTTGTTTATTAGATTTTGAGGTAATGTTCAGAATCTCCAGAGTCACCATAGCTGTCATAGTGGCGTGAACATGCACTGGAGTAAAAGTATAAAGTAGTGTAAAAATTAGCAAATGCTCTAAATTACTTTCCGTCACTGCAACTGCGTAATGTACATGTGTATGTGAGTGTGTGTGTTGCAGTGGCGTTAAAAGCCAAGGAGTTGCCAGTACAATGGGGGGGTGTCTCTCTATATGTGAGCTCTTTATTTTATACATTTCAAATTAAAAGGCACTGTATAGACGGTAAAGACCATGAAGCTGAGCAGCATTAGAGTCTGACGTAAGGCTGAAACACAGGATCATCTATCTGAGCAACTTTCTTGATTACTCTATTCAGTTTGTAGAAATTCCTCATCATAATTCCCCATAGTTCACAGTGATTACTTCAGATTTATCTTTGTAAATCGACCAACAAATCCAAAATCCCAAGATATTTCATTTAATTTCATAGAAGACTAAGGAAACCAAACAGTGAAGTAAATTAAAAGGAACACGCTACAGTCTTTGTTCTGCTGTAATTCACTCGTCAACCTCTACTAGTTAATGGATTTATCCAGGATCAGTGCATCAGCATTGTCTTCCGATATGAATGGGCCAGTTTGTGTAGGGTAGTAATGGTCAGAAAATCTGCTTTTATTATATATCGTGCCAAACATTTGTTCTTGTGCCAGGTTGAGTGGGTGTGGTGTCAGACAATGAGATTACATGGGGAGAGTTATGGCATGTTGAGGGCTCAACACCCACCGAATACGCTGTCGACTGAAGCCGTGTTTGACTCCGCTGGCTAATTAGTGCGATTACTGCACAGCTGGATTGGCCAGACGTTTTATTGAGCTTTATCAAAAGGATCACTCACTCGATGAGGCTTGATCCCGACAACTTCCGCTTCAGCAGAGTTTCTCTATTTTAGGACTGCAGGACTCTGTCTGGGGAGAAGCTGTCTAAATTTAAGAGAGTGGGAAAACTGAAGCAGCCTTCTGTGAAAAAGGTTCCTCTTTCTGTCGGGTGTAAAAAGCTGCTTCATGTTCTCCAAAATCATCAGGTTAAGATATCTTAACATTTGATATTACAAGATGTGATACTAAATTTGCTGTAATTATCTTTCTAAGAAAATAATAATAGCAGAGAAGCAGGGCTACGACTCACACGTCAACTTGTTTCTCAGTCAATATGTGAAATGTTGAAAAATAGTGAAAAGTACTAATTCATTATTACCTAGAGTCCAAAGTGATGTCTTCAGGTAGCTGGTTTTGTCTGACCAGCAGTACAAAACTCAAAGATTTGTTTACTATAATGGATCACACAGTTGAAAAACAGTTGCTGTTCAATTTTCATTGCAGTTAAGATTTTCTGTTTGCTCTCCACCCGTTCAGTCATCATCCTAGCCAGTTTTTATCACTAATCTTTTATTCCTTCTGCCCTCCCTCCATTGTCTCTTACCTTTTCTACTAATCTTTCTCCTCTCTGGTCT